AACACCACTCGTGACCGGCCGCCAACTGGATTTGACTCCATTCACCACCACTCTCTGGGTTCGGCCATCCAGCCACATTTTTACCCAGCGAAGAGTGCACTTATCCAAGCCATGAGCAGCCAGCTTCTCCAGGAGAATGCTGTGGGAGACAGTGTCAACGGCCTTACTAAAGTCCTGGTAGACAACATCCACAGCCTTCCCCTCATCCACCAAGCGGGTCACCTTGTCATAGAAGGAGATCACATTGGCCAAGCAGGACCTTCCCTTCATGAACCCATACTGGCTGGGCCTGATCCCCTGATTGTCCTGCACATGCCGCATGATGGCACTCAAGATGATCTGCTCCATGACCTTCCCCGGCACCGAGGTCAGGCCGACAGGCCTGTAGTTCCCCAGATCCTCCTTCCGACCCTTTTTGTAGATGGGCGTCACATTTGCAACGAGCAAAAAAACCTAAACAGTTTGCTGCTTCTTTACATTGTATATTTTATATAAAGCATGTACAAAAATTTCCTCTTTCTGCCTTCCTGCACATTTTCTCTTCCTGGTCCCCTAACTTTGTGGCTCCTGATTTAGTTTAAAATGGTACTGAGCAACTTTCTTGGTATTTGCTGTTTCTGTACACTGTACAAGGCTGTATGTAACCTTACTTAAAAGACCACTCAAGTCTGTTCACCAGACGTCCATCAAGCTGGCAAGGCTGGTGCTCAGTTTTGATACCAGTTTGACAACAGTAGTTCAGAGATCCCAAGCTTGCCCTAGGGAGAACTTGACCTGCTATTTCTAGATGTGATGTTCGATGTTAACGTTGCTCAGGGGTACATGAGTTTGGTTATTCCTCTCCCTGAGGTGGCTGAATACCAAGAGGAAAAGTTTGTTCAGTATAGGTTAGTATAGGAAGTTTGTTTAGTATAGAAAAGTATAGGTTATGGGTCATTTTATCAACAGCTGCAGTGTTACACGAACCATAAAATTCCTATGATTTTACTCATTCACCAGCTACATATCTTGGTGGTTTGATATCGTAACTCGAGTGCTCTTGTGCACTACCTGGTCAGTTATTGGTTGTTTGGCTGAGGTATACAGGTAGCACTTAGGTTTTCTAGATGTGTATTTCCAGTCTGGTGAATTTATGTTACAGCTCCAGCTTCAGCAGTCGATACGCCCAGGCTCCACTTCTAGCACAGACTGCACTTTTCTGGTGCTCTGTCTATGTTTGGGTCTGCCTGATGTTGCTGACTTAATAGCTATAAATAGCTAGCAGTGTGAAAAGGCTGGTCCTTGCAAGGTCTGTGTTGCAGAACCGTGCTTGCCTGATGGAAGGAGAGATGCTACTGAGGAGTTACTAGTTCAGCGCTTCTGGCTTGTTAGGCTGATTCAGACCCACTTGTTTGAGGGCACGGGCTTTCCGAGTGCTTGTTTACTGAAGTGGCATCAAGATACTGCTGCTCTGAACTCGGTGGCTTGTATCCTCCAATGCGTGAGACTGAGATGAAGCTACACGTCATGAGGTCGCTGGCTCATTAAAGTTTGTGGAGGAGGGCTGAATTCTGTATAAATTGGATTAATTGGATTATTATGAATCAAAAAAGACTATGTAATCACAGTAGCCTTCTAATTTAAAGCATGCAAACATTAATGGGAAAAGCACTACATGATTAATGTCAGTTATTATCATACCCGCAAGCAGAAGCCTCTGTGTGCAGATGAGCATCACGCTGCAATGATCAGAAAGCCTGTTCTACTAAAGGGGTGAAAAGTTCAAGCCTCTGATCAATAAGCCCAGAGATCCAGAGAGGAAATTCAGCTATACTCAAAGCAGCCTGTGGAGTTGGGGTTTTTTTGTGGTTTGGTTTTTTTTTTTTTTGTGAGCTTCTCTATGCTAATAAAATTTATGCTTTCTGCTAGGGATACAAATGGATAGGAAAAGAAATGAGGGAAAAATATGTTGGGGAAGGGTCAAGAGAGTCAAGATTCGTGGTTGCATATTCAGAGTTAAGTCAGTATTTTAGGGATTTTGGCAGAAGTGTAGTTCACTGCAGCTCAGTGGAGCACTGAAGGATTCACATCACTCTTCAGTTAGTTTGGTTCATATGTCAGGCAATTAATTTTAACCCACCCTTACTCCTATACGTCGGCTGTCCTATTATAGAGTATGTGTGTTTTAAAGAACTCCCTGAAAATACTGAACGACATTAAAAAAAACATTCAGCAGTCCAGTAGTCTGTGCTGTAACATACAGAATTTCCCTGTCTTTAAATGGGCTGTATATACGTACGCTAATTGTTGGTAAATGCTGACATTTTTATAGTCGTTGTTACAGTTTTTTGAGTATTTGGGTATAGGGTTTCGCTATATTGTTAAAAAAAAAAAGACATTTTAAACTTTAAATAATTTAAGCGACACAGCCTCTATAAAGCTATCACAATTTTCCCAAGGATTTCAAACCAGTGACAGGGTAATGCAGTTTTACAGCAATTCTGTTTCTGCATGTTTGAAGAGAGTTACAGGCTGTAGTCAAGAGGAA